GGGGGAAGGGGAGTGTGAAAACTCCTGGAGGAAAGCCATTTGCACTGCAAATGTGGGGTTGTGTCATCGTTTCCACAGCAGCCACTGAGAAGCAGGAAGAGGCAGCAGGAAGCCGCCCAGCATGTTTGGAAGAACAGAGCATCTGCAGAGTCTGTAATAAGATGTGCCTTGGGCTTTCTTTGTCAAGACACCAGGTCTCACTGCTTCCCTCCAAGCCGAGAGAGGGAAGACAAAGCCACAAACGTGGGGGGCTGCAGTGGCCTGTGCACGGGCCTGTGCGTGTGCTCCCTCCACCCAGAGTGGCCCAGCTGGCAGCGGGAACTGACGGAGGATGTATCTCCAAATCAGGAGGCCAACGAGGACCTCAGACTCTGGCCCAGGCTGGGTGAAAGCGACTTCCATTTCAGTGAAATGAAATGTTCACCTGTGCAGTTTTGAAACTTGCTCTGAAACCTCCAGGGACCCGTCAGTGAGGATAAGACAAGATTTACGTGGATCCCTGGATCTAGGCCGTGGCCCCATAGCTAAAAGCAGCCACAGGAAAGCAAAGCTGCAGGATGCCCTGAAAGCCATGGCACCATGGCTGTCACCGAGCCTCAGGGCATGCGGCCCGTCAATCCTAAACCACATCTGTGCTGGCAGACGGCTGGTAAGATCTTTCAAAAATGCAAATCCGATCACATCACTGTCCTGCCCTGGGGCTTCTGGGTGCTCTTCAAAGAAAGCCCAAGGGGCCAATGGCCAAAGCTGCAACTATCTGATTGACAAAATAAATTAGTATTGGATTATAACCCAGAGTATAAAATAAATATCCGTGAGTCTACACGGATAAAAATAAACAATTGAATATATTAATAACGGGGGAGAAGAGACAAATCCCCTATGCGGAGGGATTCTACAGGACTTATGCAGATGCGCCAGCCAGCACAAGTCCCTGCTCCGTGAGTGTGGGTGGCACATGGTGACGTCCTTCCAAAGACTACAGTACGGAAAAGGAGGGAAAAAGTCACTTTACAAAAGTCACTTTACAATCGATGTAACTGAGGGAACGGCCTGAAAAAAAGGTAAAATGTTTTGTGAGTTATCTCTTTAAAACCTCCCCCACTCCTCCTGAGAATGAAAACCTGCATTCCTGCCCAAGGCCAGAGATCAGAGGGGCAGGGGAGCAGGGGAGTCCTTCATTCTTTGTACCATCTCCTGGAAGAGGTCAGGAGACTGTCTTGCCGGAGATGAGGTCAGAGATGGGGTCATTCAGGACCATCAAACTACCACTAGACAGCAACTGCCTGAGCCGAAAATCCTCCCTTGAAAAGCTCTGTATTTTCTGCTTAAAGGACGATGACACTTTCAAGACGAGAGTCTCCAACCTCTTCATTTGCTAGCAAATCAATAAATCTCCCTTTCCTTCTCCTCAAACCACTTGTCCTCCTTCTTCTGATGCAGCCTCGGGGACAGATGCGGGCCTTGGGGACAAGTGCCGAACTTCGGGTAACATGGAGACATGCAACGAACTCAACCTCAGCCAAACAACTGAGGTCAACATCAACGGTGACGTATCCCATTGGTGGGGTGGACCCTCGAAATCATGCAAAGAGGATGGCCCAATATCTCTGTGATCTTGCTCCCAAAACCCACAACTGCAGTCCGATCACGAGAAAAACATCAGGCAGATGCCAACAGTGGGGCATCCTACCCAATACCTGACAAGGCATCAAAACTGCCAAGGTCATCAAAAACAAAAGAAGTCTGAGAAACTGCCACAGCCGAGAGACACCTAAGGAGACTAAATAGAATGTGGTATCCTGGATAGGATTCTAGAATAAAAAAAGATATTAGGGGAAAACTAAGGAAATCTTAATAAAGTATTTAGTCTCAGCCTGTTTTTTCCGCTGCTTATAAGAGAACACCTAACACTGGGTAACTTATTGCTTACAGTGACGGAGGCTGAGAAGCCCAAGATCAAGGAACCACTCTGGTGAGGGCCTCGTTGCTGGAGGGGACTCTGCAGAGAGTGCGGGGCATCACATGGAGGGGGCTGAGCCACCAGTCCCACCCCGTGATAACCCACTGACCCATTAATCCATGAATGGACTAACCCACTCATGAGAGCAGAGCCCTCGTGATCCAATCGCCTCTTAGAAGCCCCATCTCAATGCCATAGCCTTGGGGATTAAATCTCAACAGGAGTTTTGGAGCAGACAAATACTCGAACCACAGCAACTATGGGCTTTCGTGAATAATAATTTATCCACATTGGCTCATGAAATATACCAAATTACCTACCATTGTTAAGATGTTAATAGGGGAAATTGTGTGCTTGGATAAATGGGAACTTTCTATACTCTATCTCTTCTCAACCTTTCTATAAAGCTAACCTGTTCTTTAAAAAAAAATCTATTAATAATAAAATATCCTACCAAAGGAAACAAAAAATAAAAGGCCTCGGTCCTTTCCAAGACCCATCGTGTGCCACCTGCCTGGCCCTGCCCACTGGGCCACCCTCCCCTCCTTTCTCTCTAGGCTCCAGCCACAACGTGGTGGCTTTGGTTGGGTTCCCCCACACATGCTATTCCAGCCCCTGCAATATCAATTCTCTCCCCAGTGTCTTAAACCCCCCCCCACCCCCAGCTCCCGCATAGCTAAACCCCCAGCCAGCGCAATCAGTCACTTCCGTGGGATCCGTCCCCAGCCAAGTGAGGCTGCATCTACTCAGGACACTGTTCTTTTCCTACATCTCATCCGTGTCTGAGTCTGTCTTCTCTAACGGGCTGTAGGCTCCATAAAGCCAAGGTGGTGCTTGTGCCTGGCACAGAGTACCCCAAGTTCATGCTGCTGAACACTCAGATGCATAAACGAGTGAGATTCAGAAGCAGCACACAGGGTCAACGGTGAGACCACGAGGGTTAGAGCCTCGGGCCCAGCTGACCTCAGGAAAGAAGAACCCGGAGCAAACGGGCACTGTTAGTACCTACTGGTGCCCGGGGACACCAGGATGCTCTCTGACCTCCAGATTGTCTACATCAGGGAAAGATATGGAGGGAGGAATTTCTCTTTTAGCTTTTATCAAAAAATCTCTTCTCGCCCTTAGAGAAGCTGGGCTCTTTTTTTTATATTGAGATATAACTTACACACCGTAAAATAGTAAAATTCACTCTTTGTAAGTGTATAGTTCCACGAATTTTGACAAATAAAATCATGTGACCACCACCACAGTCAAGACGTAGAACATGTCCGACACCTCAAAAAGATCCCTCATGTCCACTTGTGGTCAACACCCTCTGCCAGCTCCAGCCCCTGGCAACCACTGATCTGTTTTCCATTCCTTATTGTTTTGCATTTTCCAAAATATCATGTAAACAGAATCCTATAAAATGCAGCCTTCTCAGTCTGGCCTTTTCCACTCAGCCTAATGATTTAAGATTCGTTGATTCTGTTGCACGAATCAGCAGTTTGTTCCTTTCTACTATAGGCTAGTACTCCACAGCGTAGACACACACACTGTGTCAACCCTTTTACCAGCAGATGCACATCTGGGTTGCTTCGATTTGGGGGTAATCATTAATATAGGCACACAGGTTTTTACCTGGACATATATTTTCATTTCTCATAGGTAAACACCTACAGATGGGACTGCTGGGTCATATGGAGGATCTACGTTTAACTTTATAAGAAACTGAGGGGCAGAAAATTTGAGAAGAGTAATTCTATTTCTTTTTCTAACACATTTTGATTGAGCACCTACTCTGCCCAAGGCAAACCAAGGGTGTCTCCCCAAACACCCGGGGACGTTCCTGCCCCCAACCTCAGCTCACGTTCTTGCACCACCAGAAAAGCAGACTTCCCATGTGTGTCCACCCTCATGCCAAGGCTGAGGCCAGGGTAGACCAGGCACCGCAGCAGAACCAAGAGGGGTGGGACGAATGGTCCTGCTCTGCCAACCACAAGCTGAGGGGTCACAGGCAAATCCCCCACCTCCCCGGGCCTCGGGACCAGTGGAGCTGCAGGGAAGGTGCAAAGCTTTGATGCTCCATCCAGATAAGAGACTCTGGTCGGCTCCATGCCCACCTCCTCATCACCTCATGTTCTAGAACCACATCTGCGTGCAGGGATTCTTCCTTCCCCCAATTGCTCTGCCACTTTTGGACACTGGTTTGGCAGCTGGTCACCTATGCTTTGGGCATCCCTCACATTCTGGCCCTCTACCACGGCTTCGCTTTCAGCAGTGTGTGCCTCTCCAGCCCGCAGGAGCTCCCTGGGGACACGGGCCTGAACTTCTCGGCACTCCCGGGTGCATCTGGCTCTCCATAAAACACCGTCCATGGACACTCTTTAGGAGGCTCTGATGGCTCGGCAGAATGGTTTATAATCAGAGCCAACTGCTTGCATAGAAACGGGAGTTTCTTGCTCTGATGGTTAATTTTATGTGTCAGCTTGGCTGGGTCACTGAACCCACATACTTGGTCAAACCCGTCTCAACATCACTGTGAAGGTATTTGTTCGAGGAGATTAACATTTAAATCTGTAGACTCTGAGTAAAGCAGATCACCCTCCATAATGTGGATGGGCCTCGTCCAATCAGTGGAAGAAGAAACAGACTGAGGTCCCCAGGGAAGAAGGAGTCCTGCCCACAGGTCAGCAGGTGGCCTCCAGACTCCACTCCATCAACTCTCCCCTAGGTCTCCAGCCTACCCGCCCACCCTGCAGATTTCAGACTTGCCAGGCCTTACAATCACATAAGCCAATCCCTTAAAATAAATCCTTCCTCCTAAAGATGTACTCATAGATCCATCCGTCTGTCCGTCCGTCCTACTGGCTCTGTTTCTCGGGACAACCGCCTTGATCAGCCACGGCCCACATGACCAGAGACGTGGTCTCCCGGGGCCAGACCGTCAGTGCCTTGTTGGCACCTTCATCAATGCAGCTTCTCCCACCAGGAAAAGAGACCACCCGGCCCCTGCTCTCCAGGGGCAGCTGCTGCAGAGAAGAAGCTTGTACGGTACCTGCTGGCGTCCTTGGCCGGAGTTGGGCAGGAGGGAGTGGAAGCTTCTACTCCATCACCAGCTGGCTCGGGTGGCAAAGAAGCTGTGTGCTGTGTGGCTGGGGGAGCGAGACCCGCACGGGTGGCAGCTGGGGAGGTGCTGGGGACACAAAGGGGGAATTATTCCAGATGGGACTGAGCTCATTAATGGCACATTCATCAGGCCCTGCTCACCCTCCGCCCACACATGGAATGGACTATTTAAAGACCCAGCACGCCGCCTCCCTGGCTCCCCACCCAGCCTCCGCTGGTACACGCACGCGGAGACTAAGGCTCCAGGGCAGCGGCCCTCAGGGCCAGGCCCTGGAGTTCCTCCCTCCCAGGTGCCTGCGGAATTGAGGTTTCTTTAGCGGAGGCAGCTCAGGTGTCCAGGACACTCTGTGTGAGTTTTCTTATTTGATGTTTGCTTGGAGGAGAGGATTTCTGTACGAAGATTTTTAATAATTTTTGATAGGCAATGAAACCATGTGCTGAGAACTAAAATACAACTTTGTAAACTTCTCGGGCTTTAATCCAAAAACCGGAAGCTGAGAAAATCCAGGTGAGAAGGCTGATCAAGGAACCTGCTCAGGGACCCGTTGGGATGCCTTGTAGGGGGGGATCTCCAAAGCAGAGTGCCGCCCCCGTGCAGTGGGTGGGCGCCCCCTACCGGACAGCCATGGAGCCACGGGGGAGGGGGCTCCTGCAGTGGATCTGGGACCACCGCCCCCCACAAAAGCCAAAAGGCACAGGCTTGGAGCTCAGAACAGGTTCTGATTTTCTCGTAGGCCAACAGAGCAAGACTAGCACTGCTGTCCACAGGCTAAAGCCCGGGAGCAGCTTTCAGGGCGGTGGCCCTCCCAGCCTCTCCAGCTGTCCCTACCGCTGTCCACAGGGAGCTGGGAGTGCTGGGGGTGTCTCAGGGTGGCAGGGCTGGAACGGGGGACTCAGCACCAGGGGCCAGAAACCAGGCCTGAGGTGGCAACTGGGGTTTGAGGTGTCACAGCCCTGAGGTGGAGAATCACATCTTCCCCCTGAGGTAAACCCCTGCAGGAGACCCCCAGACTGCCGGAGTCCAGGACACAAGGGCCTCTGGGTTACCAAGACATCTGCTCACTCCCATATTCTCAAGCCCTGACTGCAAGGTTGGCATCCTGGCCGGGATGACAGCCGCCACGGGTACCCCAACCCGACCCTAGACAGAGGAGTCTCAATCGTGCCCCCAAGTCCAGTCACTTGTAGCAGGTTAACCAGCACCTGTCAGCCCCAGCCCTACCCCTCACTGCCCTCCCTCGGACCCCTGGAGGCTCTGCTCCTCTGCTCCAACCAACCTGGGCCTCCTTCCGTCCCACAATACTGGCTGCTCTCTCAGCTGGCAGGACCCCCCTCGCCAGGCCAGCAATTCCTCACCTTCCAGGTGTGCCTGGTGCTGTGCACCTGGCCCTGAGTGTCCTGTCCAGCCCTGTTTGCCTGGCCCCATCATGGCCATCACGCCTACCTTCTAAGGGACTGCCCTAGCAGACGCCTCTAAGCCCCAACCTCCTCCTGGGTCACACCCATCCCCACAGGAACGTATTTGTCTTGTAAACGGAAACAAAATCTTAAGCCCCACCCTCAGAAGACAGAATGGACCTCCTCTTGGCCAAAGGAACCCCAGAAATACCCTAAAGCTGAGCTGCTGGCCATCAGAAGGGAGGTCAGACACACCTCATCATGCCCCCTCCCCTCTTGGAGATGCCCTTTGTCACCCACTACCGGGCCTAAGGCTGTGCGAGGTGCAAAGCCGAAACCACACCTGCAGGACACCAGAGTCTGGGTGTGTGTCTGGTGGCTGGTCTCTCACTAATAGACTTCCTTATCTTTACTTAAAACATTCCAAACCTTTAGACAAAGCCTCATTTCTTTAACCAATGCTAGGCAGGGGCCAAATCTGCAGGTAGCAGATACAGGCCAGGAGGGTGGTTCCTAGGGGTGAAGAAGCGGGGAAGGGACTGCAGGAAAACGCAGCTCACAATCGCAAAGTGCAGGAACTTGCGGTTTTGAGGCGACTGGGGAGCCACAGCTTTGTTATAAGAACACCTGTCGATCATGTATGCAAATCATCGGGTAACATCCCTCCCCTCCTGTAAAACCTTCCTCCAATCAGAGCACTGAAAGGAAACCACCAGGAGTCCTCAACGTCTCTCTCCATTGCTGGAGACTCACCAGTTCCTATTTGGAACGTGCTCTCGCTTTGTTTAGCCCCCTTCTTTTCTGCAATAAAAGCTGGAATTAGGCTGGGCGAGGTGGCTCACGCCTGTAATCCTAGCACTCTGGGAGGCCAAGACGGGCGGATTGCTCGAGGTCAGGAGTTCGAAAGCTGGAATTGTTCTTATCTATGGTCACTCCATCACACTGGTCCTGCTTGTGAGTTTCTCAAGCAAGGAGCCAAAGACTCAGGACAACAGTCCACCAACAGGCCAGACCTGACACCAATTATAAGTCAACGCACCTATATATTGTAAGTTAAACGCACCTATAACCTGTGAAGTAAAACGAAATCATAAGGCTCCCCACCACCGGCTGACTGAATGGACCCCCTTCTGGCCAAGGGGATATCCTAAAACTAAATTGCCTGCCACAAGGAGGGAGGTCAGACATGCTTCATCATGCCCTCCGCCCTTCTTGGGGACATACTTTGTAACCCATTAACAGGCCTAAGGGTATGCAAGACAAACCTGCAGGCCCTCAATTTACACAACAAATGTATGTATGGTGGCTTGTCTCTGATTAACAGAGCTCCTTATCTTAAAACTTTCCAAGCCTTTAGACAAAGCTTCATGTCTTCAACTAATTATAAGTCAAAGAATCTTTAAACCTACCAATAACCTGTAAGGCCCCTCTCCCTTTGAGATGGTCCACCTTTGGGGGCCAAACCAATGTATGATGCCTCCCACGTATTGATTTATGACTTTATCTGTAACCCCTGTCTCCCTGAAATGTACAAAACCAAACTGCAACCCAGCCACAGTGAGTCCACGTGTTCAAGTCTTCTTGGGCGTGGCTCTGGGTCGTGGTCCTCAAATTTGGCTCAGAAAAAAAACCTCTTAAAATTATTTTACAGAGTTCGGCTTCTTTTCCCTTGACATGCCCCACTTAGTTACGTCCTGCCTTTTCGGACCAAACCAACGTATGCCTTCATTGATTTATGACGTTACCTGTAACCCCTATCTCCCTGAAGTGTATAAAACCAGGCTAACCCAGCCATGGAGAGTCCACTTGCTCAAGGCTTCTTGGGTGTGACTCTCCAGGCCCTGGTTGCACATATTCAGCTCAGAATAATCCTCTTTAAATTCTTTTAGACAGTTTGGGTTCTTTTCCATTGACAGCCTCATGTCTGTCTTACCCCTAGGGAGCCAGAGCTGAGAATTCCACGACCACAGGCTCATACCTGCCCGGTCCACCCAGTACTATTGGACAAGTAGCCTTTGCCAGACACCTGGGGAGATAAAGGAATGGAATGCAGAAAGGAGCTTACGTTCCTTTCCCCCCAGATATGGACAAGTTTATCCTCCCTACCTCTCCTAATAAGGAACTACAGGATGGATGTGACTGAGGCAGAGGTCCTAGGAGCTGGTTGTTTTAATAAAAAGTTATTGCAAGCAGCTGCTCTTGCCAGAGTTACTTACTCAGAAAAAACCCACTGCTCGCCCCTTCCTGCGGTGGACACTTTTTTCAGCCTCCACCCATCTACACCCAAATCCTCAAAATAAACAGGATTTTGCTAAACCTGAGACTTCTCGTGTCTCCCTCTCAGCTCCGGACCTAACAAGCACCCCAACATCTAGCCCAGCCCCCACAGCAGGCACTCTGCAAACAGACCACAGAGAGCCCACAGGTGCTCTGAGTGCTGGAGCCCAGCCAGGAACCGACCCCCAGGAAACGGGGAGAAAAAGAGCCCAGAGGGTGATGACCCTCCCAAGCCAGTCCACAGTGAGCAAAAGCGACAAGTGCTTGGGTGAAACGCAGCAAAAAGGCAAAGTGGAAACACCTCCAGCGTCAAGCTGTAATATCTTGGACGGTGGCTAAAATTATACCGTAAAAGAGTGACTCCAAATGAATACTGCAAACTACGAGGGGCTGTGTAAGCCCCTTAAGAGGGCCATTTCCGCACTTGGGAGGCCCACGTTCATTCATAATCAGTGAACACCACTGAGAAACTCAAAACTACTGGCCTAACATTAGTGCTCCCAAGAAACTACACTGGCCAGCTCCTCGCTCCACTCACTGGCAGCACACCCAGGCTGTATTTAATTTAATGCAAATAACGTGATATTGTTTGTGGTTCTGTTACTTTAAGGGTACCCTTTATCAAACTGCAAGGAAGGGTCTCTGTCCTCACAAACACTGGCAGGTAGGGGAGTAGGGGAGATGCAGCCCTACCTCGGTGACCCCGACAGTCAGGACAATCTGGGCAACAGGCTGGCAGCCTGGGGAAGCCTGCCCTTATCCTAGGGACACCCTGGGGGAGCAAAATCAAGGCTCACCCCCAACTCCCAGGGCTGTCCTCAGGGACCACTTTGAAGCTCCCTCCTCTCTTCCCTCAGTTGACCACCCCCCACCAGGCCACACCCTTCCTGCCCTGCCTGGTCCCATTAGCCCAAGGCACCAAACAAATGACTCAACAGCTCATTGAAGAAAGGAGCCTCCCCTCCCCCATGGCCTGTTGGCCCGACTCCAGTGGCCCCAACAGGGAAATGCTCAGTGAGTCACCACCCAAGTGCTGAGACCCAAGGACACCTCCTGGTCCCAGCAGAACAACTCCTCTTCCCTCAATCTCGCCAGCTTGGAGTGGCACCACCAGCCAGCCAGGCGTGGCACTGGAAGGAAGTCGGGATTGTCAGGGCTCCTCCGGTTCTCCCATCCCTCCCCCTGCCAAGCCCCTCAGCACCCTTCCTGCTGAGTCAGCTCCTCCTTCCGGAATCCATCCTTCCTCCTGGCCCTCAACCTCTCTGAGCAGGACTCCCCGGTTATCTGCTGTACCTGTCTCCTGTTTTGTCCCCTCAGATCCATGCCCCCACCCCTCCAGCCACCAGAACAAGCCACTCAAGTTCCCATGAGGTCCTTCCCTAGCCTAAAACC